GAGAGAATCATATCAGGAGAAAAGCCATTAGAGAGGAACAATGTGAAGGGTGTCCTACCAGGCCCTTTTCCAGAGGCCTCCAGTTTTCTCAGTTTGCTGATCTCATCCTCAGTGATGGTAGTCATGTCTCTCCAGAAGTCCACGTTCTTGCCCTGTTCCAACTCCATGTACACCTACCAGAACATTGTGCATGCAGTAATGTTTTAATTATGCTGCACTTTAAGATCAGTACATGTTAACATGCATCTTTTGACATGTTTACGGTAAATATGGATAATTATAGATTTACACTAAACAACCTACAGCTGATTTGCCTCCTAATAGCACCTTTATTCTGTGACATTTATATTATTAAGACTTTAAGTGTGAGAGATGGTCGCTTCCTAGGTGGCCATACTAGGTGGTAGCCTGCTAAGCATTAGGTCAGCTAATCTGAGTCCCTGAATTGGACTTCGCCACCATGTTTGAAGTGATTCTGACAAATGGAGAATTTTAAAGCAATTACCAATTAACACCATCTGCTGTGTGGATACTTACACTAATCTGTGCTCAGGTATTTTACAAAGTAAAAGTCAATATTCAAGTTAGGACTTAATACTATCTACAGTGCTGTGCAGAAGTCTTGACCCACCCCTTATCTTTATATCATTAATGACATTATTAGAAATGGAAGATTGGTGCAAACGTACATAGAAATACAGTATATAAAAGGCAAAAAATATACAATTCCAGCAAGCTTGAAAGTCAGTATTTTGTATGACCAACTCTCTTAGACAGCTTACTTATAATACATAATAATAAGACTTGTAATAAGTAGTCTCCAGGAATAGTTCTCGAGGCTTCTTGAAGGAAATTCAAAGTCCTTCTTTGGATATTTGCTGCCTTTTGTTCAATTCTCTATCAAGATGATCCCACACTGCTTCAATAATGTTAAACTGGGAAGGCCAATTGATAGTGTGTTTGGGATCACTGTAATGAAGCCGTTGCCAATCAGATGCCTTCCAGCATTTTCTTTTCCTGTGTTGATAATTCAGTCAATTCTGACTTCCTGTCCAACACCACTGGTTGAAAAGCAGCCCCAAACTATGACAGAGAGCCCACCATGTTTTACAGAATGTTGTGGACACTGAGTTTTAGACCTCCTCTGTACATGTTAATGACAATTTGAATGAAAAACTTCAAATTTGGATTCATTACTTTACAAGACCTTTTGAACAGATTCAGTCCAGCTCTTGTGTAATTTGGTATACCTAACCCGCTCCTCCCTGTTTCCCTTTCTTCCTTCCTTCCTGCCACCCTTCCACTGAGACAGTTCTTGACTGAAGTAAAGAAATATGCTGTGGAGTAACAAAGTGCCTGAAGATTCAATTTCAAATTGGTTATTTGCCAAGTTGTCTGTCGATGATAAACATGGCACAGATCCATCCCTTGCGTAAGGTAAGGTCTCTTTTTATGCTCGAATGATTCATGGTGGCTTAACAAACAAAGATTCCTCTGAGAAAGGTCAGGTACAAGGACTGGACTGAAAATAAGCAAAATAGATGCCAGTGATCAAAGAAGAGCACTGAAAGGCCTTCAGGAAGCCAGGAGAACTATTGCTCAAGAGCACTTAAAAACTGCCAATAACATCTAACATCAGGAAGCAAAATATAAAGAAACTGAATAGTTTAAGAATTTTGCACAGTACTATAACATGAGATTTCATAGCAGTAGCTCATAACGTAGTGAGTGATGTTATGTTTTACATACAGTCTAAACTTGACACTACAAATTGAGCTGGGTTTTTAATATTGTATCTGTATGGGCATATTATGAAACACTGTATTAAAATCAGTCCTTTCATAAACAGAACTTTTACACTTTATTTAAGCACATCTACAAACCTTTATGTCCTCTAGCAAGTCGTCCATGTCAGTGACCGTGAGCCCATTGAGGAACGTGTATGGTTCGTGCATTTCCACTGCCAAATCATCATCTTCTGCACTGATGTACTTCGCCAAAAGGTCGATCGGCTTCGCGCGGCCGTCACGGATTCTAATCTTAGACCTGCAGAGACAAAGAACAAGGGTGTGAAGCAGGGTTAATTAGATAAACAGATGTAGAAGGTGGAGGTTTAAACAAACTGATCCAATCATAGTGGAGTAAGAGCCACACTAACCTTAGTTTGGCCTGATGCAGATGGAAGTTATCTTCCTGTTCAGCCCAGGTCTTGAAATATTCTGCCTCTTTCTCTCTCTGCAGCATTTCCAGCTCCTGCTCTCTCATGGCCTTCTCTCGCTCCCGCTCCAGACGCAGCTGCTTCACCTACATCAACATAAAATTGGTGTATAAATATGTCGCTCCCAATCTCTAAACTTAAAACTGATCCTCCATGTTTTGCCTGGGAAGTGAAATTCCACCCTTTTTTTAAGCATTTATATAAAAAGTCAGGCACTGTGTGAGCACTAATGTGGAAGATTTTTATCCCACAGTTCTTACCTTCTGCAGCTCTCTACGGTTCTCCTCCTGAATACACTTGTTCCTTTCTTTGAGCTCTTTCTCTCCGAGATGACCGATACCTTTCTTATCCAACGCCTGAGGAAGCAAAAAGAACCGTGGATGGGATACAAGGTCTCAAAAGCAGGTTATGACAGGCAAATATCCAAACTTTTGCAGTCAGGAACTCACCTTTTGCCATTTAAATGTCCCCAATAAGTTGTTGTCCCCAAAAGGATTGTCTGCATTGGTGTATCCCAGGTACTCCTCACTCCAGCCCATCTTCTCTCTCCTTTTCTTCTCCTTTGCTTCCTTCTTTGCCAACCTTCTGGCCCTCTTCTCCTCTGGTGTCTCAAGAGCTTTCATCATCTCCTTCTGTTTGTTCCTCTCCTCCTTTTCCTTGAGTGCGCCTCTCTCGCAATCAGACTCTGAGCTCTCAGATGACTCACTCGAACTGAAGCGCTGCTTGCCTCTGCCCCGGTCAGACTTCTCTTGGCTTCTGTTACTCCTCCCGCGCTCCCTGTCTTCACTTTTCTTCCTTCGCTCTCGACTTTTGTCGCTGTCTCTGCCGCTGTTCTTGTACCTCTCTTTCTCTCTGTCCCACTCCCTCCTCTGTCTGTCTCTCAGTGGACTCCCTCTCTCAGGACTCCTTCTTCTTCTCCTTTCTCTGTCGCCGCTTCCATCATGGGAGTCAGAACTGGACTGGGATCTTCCCTTTCTCCTCTCTCGGGATGTTGTTCTATGACTCTCCTGTTCCTTTCTCCTCCTCATTTTTGTATTATCTGAATCAGGACTGAGAGAGAAAGTGTGATTTAATACAGTAACTGCAGGAATACAATATTAACTACAGAAGACCCACATAACAGGAAACTCTGAGGTCCCGTTGAATACAGTTAAAACATATTTTTATTATTAATTATTATTATTATTATTATTATTATTACATGCAATGGAGTTACCATAACAAGTTGATATAGGGATTATATCTACAGAAGGTCTTTTCATTCACATAAAGACTAACACTAACGTCACTGAACATCAGCATCGCTATCAGTTGATTGGATTACTGTGCAGCAGCCTGGCACTCAACCAAGGATGGGACAAACATCGATACAGCAATATACTGTGCACACATCTCTTTTATGTATATTTTATGCAGTGACAACAAACCTTATGCTGTACAATGATTTAAACCCTACCTACATCCAATTAAAAACCATACAGAACAACAAAAGATTCAATTCAGAAATGCAATTTGCTTTTCAAAAAAGAAGGGTTAATTTAAATTTAATTCCGGCAATACATTTTTAAAAAGCTGATATTGGGGGGAAAAAACCCTGGTGATCTAATAAGATGCCTTCTCCTTGGGGAGGGGACCCCGAGCTAGACCCAGAACCCACTGAAGAGATTATACATCTCACTTTGCCTGGAAATGCCTCAGTATCTCCCAGCAAGGACTGGAAAGTGTTGCTTGGAAGATGGGTGTCTGAAATACCCTGCTGAGCCTGCTGCCACTACAACCTTCGGATGATTGATTGATGGATAGACAGAATATCTACGAAGGTCTCACAGGCATGTTGCAGTAAGCAATACTGCGCCACACGCACTGGTGGTATGAGTTCTTCAAATAATAAAACAACAGACATCTTTTTTCTTCCTTTTTTTAAATGTAAGGCCTTGCTCAGTTCTGCAAGTCAACATCAAATTATATTTAGCGCCTAAGCAAAAGCATAGATGCATGCGGATTCCTGGAATTCCCCCCAAAAAGAATAGTTTTTGTTCATGTCCTTTCGCTGTCGCAATTCGGACAGAAAACCGTTACGTTTACGGAGTCACTCGATGTGTTCAAATGAGGCCTGCTACTACCATCATAATATATAAAATCCCAAGTAAGCAGCCAACTCCGCTTCGCAAAGCGATTACCTTGATGACCGACCCTTCGACCTGTTCCTCTGACTCTGAGTCTCTCGCCTCCGGTCGCTCTCCGAGCCGCTGCTGGAACCAGAGCGGCCCCTGTGCTGAGGCCGACGTCGGGCCGTAGAGCCATCGCTGGAGTCCTGACTGCAGGATCTTCCCCTACCACGAGCGGCCGTTTTCCCGTCGGCAGACCGACTGTGGTCTCTCCTCTCATCTGGGGATCTAGACTTGTTTCCTCTAGACTTATTCGGCCGATCTCGGCTCCGACTTCTGGACTTGGAGCGAGCCCGACGTCGAGACTTGGAACTCATTGCGAACTTTCTCTCAATAGGGGGTCCCAACACCAGTTTGTCGCATAAATAAGATGTAACAAATGGGCCTTTTTAAGACATATTCTGTTCGTACCTGGTTAAACGGCACTGGAACGATTAAAAAGCAAATAATGTCAATATTTCACATTTTTAGGTCATATTAAAAATAAATAAATAAATAAATAAAACCGTTACATATTTAACTAGTTAACGGGGCAGCAAAAAGCCCCCCTCGAAGGGGCTTTCTGTGAAATGGCGCGTATTATTTACGTCACGAGAACCTTGAGAAAAATAAACTAGAAACAAATGGCCCGCTGTTTATTAACTGTTGATTTATGAAATCCGCACCCCTCCTCGGAGTACCATCTGAATACAACTGAGAACCGTCAGTGTGTTGAAATAATTTCAGGGTGAAAACAGCTCAGAAGCACGAACAATATTTGGCGTTTTTGTGACGTCAGAAAGTGGCAAATGCAGTTCCCTAAATTCCCTCTCAAATAAAATGTTAAAGAATTATTGCTCTAAAAGCTATTATTTTTTCTGGGTAAATTTAATTGTATATAAACTTATGTAATAAGACAGTTGAATGCGTCACGGCACGCCTTCTTTGCTGCTCTAAAGGGGAAAAATAATGTTGACAGGTGGAAATTGGACTACAAATCCCGCATATCACAGGGCGCCATTGCCTGTTTGTAGAGGAAAGGGGACTCCTTTCAGCAACATTCTTCTCTATCCTGTCTTCTCTTATGGCCGTATGAGCTATATTTTCCGGCTGTTGCCGTAAAGAATTCATGGGTTTGGGTATATAGGTGTGTTTTCTGTCCTAGCCTGGCTCTTGTATGCGGTTAGGAAGTATTCGCGCCGTGCTAGGATCGGTTCGATCTGGTTGGTGAGGTAGGGCTTGTTAGCTAGCTCCCATTAGCCTACAGCTATCAGTAGATTTACGGCTTATATCCGCGGCTGTTCTGCCAGGTAGATCAGCTAAAGCTGGAGGCGCGGGTCTGACACAATGGTTGGTCAGTTGCAGATTTCTCTGAGTGTTGACATTGGTAAATAATTTCTCTGTTTCGGGGACAGATCAACGCCACCTTTGTTTGGCTCGAGCACAGCCTGACACGTTTGGCCTGTTTTATTGTCTCGGTACTGTTGTTGTTTTCAGGGTAGGCTGCTTGGCTTATTAGGCTAACTTTGCCGTGTTCGCGTGAACAGAAGGAAACTGTCCGCTGTTCACTCCAGAATATCCCGACAGCCACCCAGACCACCACCA